AATCTGCAGCGATAACCTGGTTCAGTGGGTGCCTTTGAGTTACTCCTGCGCTCTTCGCTTTCTGGGGAATTCTGCACAAGCCGCAGTGGGAGGAGGAGAGAGAAGTTCAGGGATCCTTACAGATCCCTTGCTGGCACCTGCAGGGAAGAATCTGTATGGGTCGGTGTACTACCTGTTAGCTGCAAGAAGCAGCAGTGGTTCGACCTCTGTAAAGGCTGGGCTGGGGTTTGTTAGAAAAAGTAAAGCAGACTATTTTGACAGAGGAAAAGCTGATGAAACTGGTTAAGAATACTGACATTCCCTTTAGTATGGGAGTGAACTGGAAAGAGAGGTTAGGAGAGGCCTTTGACTGATTGATTTTTCTCACTAAATGGGGCTTTCTTACGTAATGATACTCTCAGGTGGCAGGATTTAAAATGCTTACAGTAACTTATTCTGTGTCGCTTTGCTAAACCTTGATTGATTAACTTTCACAAAAGTATTGCCAGTGCCCAATCTCCTGTTAGGAGAAACCCCCATTTCCCCCTCTCTTTCTGCATCAAAACTTAGATCTTATGCTAAATTTGTTTTGTAGTACATAATTAACTCCCTAGGAATGAAAAATCAGACTCGGTCTGAAAGCCTGTTCCCCTCCTCGCTCTGGAGGCAACTTGGAATAGTGTTTTAAAGGTGCTGATTCTTCGTAATAATCCCCATTAACAAGCACTCACTTAGGGTTGATATTGATCTAAACTGTTGTCAGTAGGATGAATTAGGAGCAGGCGGCTAGGGAGAGAGGGTTGTTTATCTGTTGTTTTCCTGCTGGGCTTCTCCAGGACACTGAACTACTTAGCTAATTCCTGCCAGGACCAAATCTCCTCGTTTTCTGACTCCGCAGAGTAACTTTCTACGCAAGAACTTACTGACCGTAAGGAATGAAGTTCGGCCGCAGACGCGCTTTAGGAACTGCAGGGACATTCTCTGGGGAAAACAATTACCTCAGATTCTACAAAACTGCTACAGACAAGGGATTTGATATCAGTCCCTTACAGCTGGCATGTTTATTCATTATTTAACTTGTTACTTAAAAAACTGTGTAAATTCCAAAGAGTTTGTATAAGCCCGCCATACACTATTTGTCTGAAGAAGACAAGTGGTGCTGAGCCACACTTGCTGCTCCTGGTATCTTCAGCTGAAGTTGGTAGCACTGAACTTTAAAAAAAAAAAAAAAAAAAAAAAGAAGGATAGAAAAGAGAACTAAATATCGGTGTCAGATTATGTAATTCGAAGAAGCTGAGGGAAGGACAGTGAGACCACATGAAAATCTTACTAACATCTCTTTCCTGCACCACTTTAGTGAGTCCCCAGGTCCTGAGGGGATTTGGAATTACAGGTTCCCTCGGGGAACTTCAGTATCCCATGCTCTTCTCTGGAATAATACAGCCACAGCTTTTCATATTCATCTATGAATGTGCCGTGCTCGAGGCTCAGGCAGAGAAGCGTGTCAACACTGATGCATCCAGTTTTTCGAAGCGTTTGGGAGGAATGGGTGTCACGACTGCGCCGTGGTGTGTGCCGACAGCCTCAGCGCCTTTGAAAGTCCTGGGGAGACCTTTTACCGCAGCTTGACCCTGTTGGCAATACTGGCTCCGGAGGTTGCTCTTGCTGCGGAGCTGCAGCCAGCAGTGAGATGGACCTCGTAGCAATGCCGTGTTCGGCTTGGGAAGGCAGCGAGCCCCCCTTGGGCGAAAGCACTGTGCTGGGGGTTAATTCCCACTGTGCGTTTCTCTTGCGCTTCCCCCAAATCCAGCTAATGAAAGGCCTGTAGCTGCGCCTCACTGTGCGGCTGCCGGAGCCTCTGCCAGAGCTGGGCTGGAGCATTGGACTCGGTTTCAGCCAGCTGCGGTTGTGTCCTCTGCCTAAATCGCTTTCTGAATCGGCTCCAAGGCTCCGGCTGCTGTGCCAAGTCCCTATCTTATCCCGCTGTGCATCTGTTTGTGATGCAATTCCCGCAGGAATGGGGAAGTACAGGGAGGAGGGGAGCGTGTGAGCAGCTTTTCAGGCAGGGTCTGTAGCATGTTGATCCCTGGCAAGAATGAGCATAGCCTAGTCCTGGAAATCAGACCCAAAGCCAATGCCCAGAACAGCCTTTGCAGAGTAACAGCAGGCCTGAGTCCCGCTGGATGGTCGGATTCCCTGAGAGCTGTAGCTGTTAGATAGTATAGAAAAAAAATAGGACAGGAAAAAATGAGAGGCTCTGGGAGGAAGGGGAAGAGTGTCCAGATTATATGGAAGTGAGAGGGGTGCTGCGGTGACATGTGGAGTTATTTCTACCCCTGGCTTCTTCTGGACTCACAGTGCGGTTCATCCCAATAGATCACTTAATAGAGGGCCCTATTCAGAGCTGGCTCCTGAAAGTAAGAGATTCCTGTTTTAGGTAGTCTTGATACCTCCTCTCGTGTTAACCCAGGATTTGCCCTTGTTTGCTGAGGGCTCCCTGCGTACTCCGGATTTTGGTCCTGGCCAAGCTCTGCTGTGGCCACAGGAGCTGTCGGTGCCTCTTGAGCCGGCTACTTCCGCTCCGGTGGAGTCGGAGCTGGGAGCCAAATCCAACCGCCAATCATGCCCCTGCCACCGAGCCGGTGGG